GAAAAACATGCAGCCAGTCTTAAATGGTCACTTACATTCAGGCTTGTGCTTTTATGTAAATATGTTTGGCATGCCCAGTTTCCCATTAACACAAGGTCACAAATTAAGTTTCTTATGTATTTACATAACATCTGAACATGAATTGCACACAACTGCTGATTGCATGAATGTGCCTATTCAGGATTCATATGGGCTTTGTGTCTGCATTTGTATGTGAGTGTCAATCTATTCACAGGGATAGGTCGAAGCAGTAGATGCTGATACAGGAATTTTCCATATTTCTAAATATTGATGGGTTTTAAGAGGAAATTGTGTCTTGCTCTTTGGTTGTTTTTTTCAAAAAAAAGAAAACTCTTTCAACTTACTCCTCCTTTTTAACACTGTTTTTTAAATTGTAGTTCAAACTCTACTTTGCCAGTTGTCTTCACAAAGTGTTTTGCCAAAGACAGCACAGAAAAACCTGTGTAGTAGTGCCACTATTGATCCTTAGAGACATTAAGCTTGCTAATGCTGCTGTGAAATAGGTAAAATAGTACATTAATTTTATAGATGGGCAAATACTTTAATTTGTTTTCCCCTCTCAATTTTTTTCCTAGTAAGGCTGTGAGTCAATAAGTACCATTATCCATGGCTCTGGAGCCTATTAAATAAATATATTTCCTGCACATGTGTGTAGGATCGTTATTTACGTATAACCAGAACATCTGTAAGTGGCAACTAGTTTGGAGATTATTTTATTGCACATGAATTAAAATAGGCTGCTGCATTTTTCCAAAGTCTCCTCGCTCCTCTGGATGAGGGTCCATGTGGATGCTTCATGATGATGTGTGCAGGGGATACCTGAGTAGCACCCACATGGAATTCCTCCTGCCTGCTCCCCTTCCCTCCAGCAGCTCTGGGATGTCCCTGCCCAACAGCACCTCTCCAGACACCTCTGTAACCAGAAGTTTTGAGCTGAATGAGGAGAAACCTGAATCTCTTCCTCCTCCTCCTCCTCCTCTTGGATGCTCTCAGTGCAGTGTGACTGGGGAAGGTCTCTCTTTGGGAGAGAAATGACAGCATATTTTCTTTGGATGAGGAAAGGTTTGATTATTCCCGAGTCAAGCTGGAGTTCTCCAAAGCTTTTAGTTGAAGGTGGATGTCTTTTAGAACTGTTATTAGGCATATTTTGGCATTTTCATTCCCAACAGAGGAGAAGAATGAGGCAGAAGTACCAGGTTTTGGTTTTCCTTTAGGAGGTGCCCTGTGTGGTGACATGCTGGGTATTTTGGAGCTGAAATTTGAAGAGAACTCGTTTGGCACTTGCAGTATTTTTCCAAAGTCTGATTTTAATCAGCCAAATAACTGAAACCAACTCCTCCCAAGAATCCATCATAAAACCTAGTTTCTTACTCAAGATGTTTGCTTTCTGAGCTAGCTCCTTGGCCAACTTTCCAATGGAAGATTGCTTTTTTTTTTTCTTTTTCCCATGGGAGCGATTCCCTCGGCACAAGTGAACGCCCAAAGTGAAACGAGGCATGTGGACCAGCATCTGTCACCAGCCTGCACTTACTGCCTGGGATGGTTTGGGGATGAGGGAAACCAGCAGAGACCCCTCAGCCACTTATGAGCACCACGTGAGAATTCCCTGGCGTTGGTTGCCTGGGGCTCCTTGTGGGGCACCCTGGGCTGGGTGGTGGCACGAGGAACTGTGTGGGCATTGGGTGATGGGGCAAACCCAGTGACAGCTCGGCATCACAGGCCTTTCTCCTGCTCCAGAATGAGATCCTGGTCTCCTTTGTGGTCCCTCAGTGAGATGTGGGCAGCCCAGCAACGGGGCATTCATCAAATCAGTGAGTCTCACCCCACATGCCTGAGTATTGACAGGCCTAATGTGAGCATGGAGATGCATAATGGTCCCTGGGAGACATCAGCCAGAAATCAGAATACCCTTTGAACTGCTGGGATTTAAACCTAGGCTCATTCTTGTCTTCTTAAAACCTGGGAGTTACTGAAGTAGAAAGAGCAGCCCCATGGACTGAAATCTCACTGTATTTTCCTTGAATATTCTCTTTCCCAGTGAGGAGTTGCTTACACTTCTCCTAGACCTTATAAACATGACATATTTACATGAGAGTGATTTGAATTCTCCTCTACCTCATGTCTCACCATAAAAGCAAACTCCTAATTTCTGGTTGCAGTGTCTTTGCACTGCCAAATAATGTTTTAAGGGGCAGAAATAACCAAGCTGAATCATCAGGTCACAGTTTGGCTTTCTAATCTCAGTTGGACTTTTAGGGGCAGAGCCCTGGAGAGAAGTAGAAAATGTGATGCTTTCAGGGTGTCTAAAAGTAAAATAGTTCAGCTGCTTATGAGGAACAACCCCAATGACTTGATGCCCTCCTGTGAGAGCGTTAGGACTGTTACAGGCACTGATCACACTGCCTCAGGTTGCCCAGAGAAGCTGTGGCTGCCCTATCCCTGGAGGTGTCCAAGGCCATTGGGGCTTGGAGCGACCTGGGATCATGGAAGGTGTCCCTTCCTAGGGGTGGGGGGGGAAGTGAACTGAGATGAGCTTTAAGGTCCCTTCCAACCCAAACCATTCTGGGATTCTGTGATTACATGCTGTGCCTCCAGGAGCTTCCCTTGAAGAGGCAAAAAGGAAGAAACTGAGAAGCAAAAATGTGTTTTCATCCACCAGGAACAAAACAACTTTTTGGAAGTTCTCGGCCACATAACTTCACCCTTCCCTTTTGACAAAGCCTTATTTTTTAAGGGTATTTTTCTGATCCATTGGTTGGACGTGGATGTTGCAGGCATCTGGGGTCAGGGCTGGCACCACAGGGCAGTCAGTGCTGCAGGGAAGTGACGTGGGAGAGAGACAGAGCTGGGCTCAGCCCAGCCTTCACCTTCCCATCCCATAGGAGAAATGCAGGGCTGGTGCCTGCTCATGGTGTGTAGTGTTCCTTTGAACTGGAGACATGTAGATAAATCTTCATTGTTGATTAGTGAGAGAAGTGCTGGTTGCATTAGATCAAACTGTGCCCTCGTTTGTGCCCGTGAGCCCCACGGGGCCGACGTGGGCAGCCCAGCCCCGTAGGGCCACGCTGGTCTTTTGTCTCCTCGAGAGTGTATTGTGTGAACCTGGTGTTTACTGCCTGACTGTATTTTATTCAGGAATCAGTCAAGATGGATTTGTTTAGCCAAGCCCAGTCAGGCTTTCACTACAGAGGGGCAACACCTACGGAGCACGGCGGTGTTTGCAGTCGGCTCTGGGGCCGTTCGTGGTGCAGATTGTGCTTTGCTGCCTTTCTGCAAAAGAGCTCCACGAGCTGCAGAACCAGAGGGCACAGCTCCCTGTGGCTCCTTCCCTGAAAAAAAAGCCTCAGATTTTACACATCTCCCTGTCAATGGATGACAATGATGTTTTAGTAACACCCCGATGTTAGTAACACCAAGTGGAAATGTGCTCCGTGTGTGCTCCGTTACCTAAAATTCTGGTGATGGTTTTGAAAAGCTGCATAAAATGACTTGGTCAATTTAATTCAAACTAAAGGCAGATCTTTAGCGTGATGTTTGCTCCTTTTAGTTCTGCCAGGTATTTAGGATCTCTGTACCATACTGGCCCAACAAAGGTCTTAAATATCAGAATTTGAATGGTAGGATTTTTTTGCTGATAAAACTCCCATAAAATTCATCCCCACCAGCAAATATTTGTTATGAGAGTTGGAGCAGTGCTTGCAACACATATTTTAGGGTTAAGGATTTGGCCAGAGGGCAGAATGATTGTAGAACACAAAGGCTGCATGGTTTTCAATTAGACAAGAGGTGTAAACTGAACTTCATGCAGAGACCTTTGTTGCAAACACACGTATTTTCTGCTCTTACATGGATTACAAGTGTGTATTTATCCACATGGGTTATTAAATGCAACTCATTTAATGGCATTTTCCTCCCTTCCAGAGGTCTCTCACACCACATTATTTCTTAGAGGCTTTTAGTTCTCCCTTCTCATCGTACCAACCACCTCGAGCAAGCACATGAGGAGATCCCCAGCAGCAGCAAACACGTTGATCTGGCACAAGGGTCACAACTAGAGCTTCCTTAGGGTTGTGTCATGATGTTCTCTGTGTAGTGTGGGTTTGGTAGCCAAACAAAAAATCCTTGTTCTTCCTATTTGGATGTTTATTGTGGAATTTATTAGCAGAAGTTTACATAGCTCCAGCCTCTTTCTGTCAGATTTTAACAGGAGTTTCCAGCCTTCCCAGAGCTCTCAGCTGATGTGCAGTACAAATCCACAGAAATAATTTGCATCTCTGTGGTTTGCTGCTTTTGACCAGACCTAAAATATCTTCAGTTAATTCTAGTCCTACTTAGAAGATAATCAGTTTTGATTCTGTTGCCAGCATTGCTTTGGGGTGCTCCCCGTGCTCAGCTCAGTGCATCAGCTAAATGGGGGTGTGGAACATTCAACCTTTTTTTGCAGTAAAGCAAAAAAATACTTTATTCCTGTTGATGTAATTTTGCAATGATTGAATATACTCTTTTTCTCATAAATGCTTCCTAATTTTGTGTCTAACCCTGTTGAATTTTGAAGGATCCCTTGCAAAGCTGCAATCAGTTAAAAATCTGACAAGCTCCAACCCTTTTCATTCACTCCAAACCCTGAGTGCTTTTTCCAGAGGTTAAAATTTGCTAAAATTAAAGTGAAGGAGGAAGATATGCTGGAAGCAGCAGTTCTCTATAAGGGCTAAATACCTGCAGAGCTTGGATTTTATTTGGTGAACACGGTGATCACAAGATGAAGAATCCTTTCCTCTGCAGAGCTGTGGCACGACTGGCTTAAGTTTTCAGAAAGGCTTTTCCTCTTGGGGGTTCAAGTGGGAAAGTTTGGGCTGGGTGAGGAAAAAAATGACACAAAATCAGTCATGATTTTGGGGAGGAGGCAAAAGGAGCAGGACAGCAGTCGTTCTCTAAGACCAGCTCTTGCTCAGCCTGTGTCTCCATCCCTGTCCCCACAGCCCCCTGCTCGCCGTCTGCTTTGCTGCCTCCTGCGGAGTCCCAGGAATTGCCCTGCTGACTCTGGGAGTGAACCCTCTCACTGGGGCCCTGGGAGCCTTCAACATCTTCCTCTACACGTGCTGTTACACCCCCATGAAGAGGATGAGCATTGCCAACACGTGGGTGGGAGCTGTGGTGGGGGCCATTCCCCCTGTCATGGGCTGGACCGCGGCTACCGGGAGTCTGGATGCTGGTGAGTAGAAATCCTTTCCATCAGGGTGAGTGATTGTCAGGATAACTGAAAAAACCTACTCAAAAGGCAGCAAACTTTGTCATTTATGCTTATCTACCTGACCAGCCCAGGTTGAATGGGGCTTGGAGCAACCTGATCTAGTGGAAGGTGGAACGTGATGAGCTTTAAGGTCCCTTCAACCCAAACCATTCCCTGATAGTGCTTCAGAAGCAGATAAATTCTGGTAACATTCTCCTTATGGGGGCAAACCTGAGCTGATAAAGCAGCATGTCCTGTTGGATGTGTGTTTAGACCATCTTAAAAAAAAATCTAGAAGGAAAATAGCATCTTATGTGTTCACATGGAAGAAAATGTTACATAATTTCAGGATTAAAACCATATCCAGTAAGATCCAACTTACAAGGAACTTTCAGCTGGAAAATTCCCAGATGTGTTTATTAGTGTCTTTCCACGAGCCAGAAAATGTCCTGGAAAGATTAATTTATTGGTGTATTTCTTAATTGCCCATTGCTAAACTCTAAGTTATAAATGTTCCTTCCCTCCTCCTTGAAAAGCAAATGAAGATTTCTATTTTAGTAACTGTGAACCATTTTTACATCCCTTGTAAAACACTGATCTCTTCAGCAGCTCAACTCTGACACAATCAGGGCTTGTTTTTCCTGCCAGCTAGAAACTTAAGAATCAAAGTGGCTCCACAAACTTATGGTCTGAAGAAACTAATGAAGTACAATTAATAGGTCTGTTAAGAATTGCTTTAGCACACACTCTTCCCACAGTGGGGCATATTTAAGGCTTGAATAATACTTTCAACAGCAAGGCTTTTAACCAGAAATTATCAGAATTTGTGCAAAATCTGTTCTTTAGGCACTTCCTAATAAAAGTCAGTCTGAGTTGGCTTTGTGTCCACGTGTTCCCATACAGATCTAACCCAGACCTAGGATGAAAGATGGTGTGGGGCTTTTTTCCAACACGTGTGCTACTTCTACTTTGGTTGGACTTGATGATCTTAAAGGTCTTTTCCAACTGTAACTATTTCGTAGTTCTATAGAATTAATTAAAAACACAGAATGTATAATTTTAAGACCTTTATCATTATGGCTGCAGATGTTTAGACCTTGGATCTAACGTTGTTTAGGGATTTCTGTGTTGCTTTTGGCACCACACTGCAGAGTTGATGTCCAAGGATGACTTTCACGTGCCTGTGCTTCACCTGCACAGTGCAGGCTGAAGGAGCTGGAGTGCAGAGCTGCATCTCATCAAAAGTTCTTGCTGTAGAGGCTGCAGTGAAAGCCCAGCACGTTAAACTGGCCCTGATTGTCATTATCTTCAATTTGTCAAGTTCCAACTCGCTCCTTGAGACCTGTTTCACAGAGAGCTGTCCCTGTAGGGCAGCAGGGAGCACCACTGGTGTCCCAAGTAAGCTGTTCCTCTCTAATTTACAACTGAATGTGGTTATGTGTCCCTGTGCCAGCTCTGCTGTGGAGGGGATGATCTCTGGCAGTGATTCCATCAGTGGGAGATGATCACTTTAAACCACCCAAGCAGACTTTACCAGAACATGATAATCTGTGCTGGTGTGTAGCCAGTGTGCTCTGGGCACCTAAAACTTCCTGCAGTCACCTCCCAGCCTGTGTCAGGGAGGCCAGGCAGGTTGTTTGATAGAGAAAGAAATGTTGTTGAGCTGATACTGGTGTTTGTAATGAAGCACATCTGGGCAGAGCCCTGAAAACAGGGATTGGAATGTAATATTTTAGTGCATTTCAGTATTAAAAGAAATGGGGAAAATCCCAACCCCAAACAAAGAAACAAACAAACAAAAAAAACCCCACAAACACCTCTAAGGAGAAAAGTGTAAGAAAAATATGGCAATGTAGACTATGATTTTCAGTGTTAAGCCTTCTATTCCTATGCCTGGCAGCATCAAATCCATGCAGAGAACAGGGGTGCATCCATGTGCATCCATACTCAACGAGCAGACCTGAGTCCCTTCCCCAACCAGCCTGCCCACAGTTGCTGAACTCATTAATAATGTGTAATTAGTGTGGAGACTTAACCTAGTTTTAGGTAGAGGTGTGAAAATGCATTTGCACCTCGTTTAAAAAAAAAAAAAAAAAAAAAGATCATTCCACTGGATAACAAAGAGGAATGTGAAGGAAAGGGAGGCAGGAAACTAATGAGAAGGAAGGTTCTCACCACTTAACTGGTGGTTTTTTGAGTTTACATTTTCCTGTGGATTTTCTCTCCTTGTAATCTTCTCACAGCAGCCACATTGTTGTACATGTTGCTGGTTGTAGGGAAAACAATATTTAAGTGTAGCCCTTTCATTACCCTCCGAGGGGGAGCCAAGTGTTGCACCGTTGTGTGGTGCCCTTGGATAGCTGAGCCTGCTCCCTCCAGGACTTCCACAACACGGTGCTGGCTGCGAGATCCTCGTGTGCTTTGAGAGAGCTGGAAGTGGCTCCTTGTTTCCAATTCCAGAGATCTCAGACAGGAGCAGCCTTGTTTTAATTTGTCCTCACTTTGTTTATAACTTTCTCATTTCAAAGATTAATACTTTAGCAGTGTCTTGCACAAGAAACAAATGTCACAGGTAAAAATGTGGGACCCTCACATTTCCAGTGCTGCAAATGCTGTAATTTAGAAAATCATGATGCAATCATAGAATGGTTTGGGTTGGAAGGGACCTTACAGATCATCCAGTTACAACCCCCTGCCGTGGGCAGGGACACCTTCCACTAGCCCAGGTTGCCCCAAGCCCCATCCAACCTGGCCTTGGACACTTCCAGGGATGAGGCAGCCACAGCTTCCCTGGGCAACCTGTGCCAGGGCCTGCCCACCCTCTAAGTAATTTCTTACACTATAATCTTTGGCAGATCTCCTGATGATTCCCAAGAATTCTTGCTTCCACTTCTGCCCCTGATAGGTGACTTTAATGATATGCTCTTAAGCCTGATTGAACATCTCGCCCCCAACCCTGGATTTTGTGCCAAAGTAACTTAGGGGGAACCTCCCATTTCAAAAGCGAAAGATAAGGTTATCTCTGGGAAGATGTGGAATTCTTTGTTGTGGGGTTGGTGGGGGGGAGTTTGTGTTTTTTTTTTTAATGGCAGCTGTTTGAAACTGATGAAAGATCAGGAATGTTAACATTTCCTCGCTGGGGGAGCGAGTGCAGGTGAGACGGTCAGAGGTGTGTGATAAATGTAATTTATCACGTGGATATCACTGCCACAGATCTGGGGTATTTATGCACAGCTTAACTGCCAGCCTGTGATTTGCAGTAACACGTTTGCTTCCTTGAAAGCAGATTTCACTGCTCCTTCGTGGGGCTGTTTGTTTCTGAAAAGATTTGTTCTTCCAGTAAATCGAGACACCCTCAAATTATTTTACAAGGGAAGGACTAGCAGGAAAATAATGAAATTCACTTAAAGCTTTAAGTGACAGCATAGAGAGAGGAAGAGAGGTACAACTTGGCAGTTTGTCCTGTGCTGGGTCCTCTCCTGGTGGGACCCACACTCAGGAAAGCTCCTGGCTGTGCCATGATGCTGCTGAGCCTGTGCATAGGAAGGAACAGAGCTGTTTGTTTTGCTGTGCAAGAGGCACAACATATACATGCTTTAAATTACCCTTGTGCTGCTGGTCTTCCTCCCCAGCCTAATGCTGCAGCTTCCTTGTTAGAGATGTTTGTTGTCCATTTAAACTTGTTATTTCTAGTTAGCAGGAAAAGTGAATTTGGGGTAAATGTCTCCAAGTGCCACCACCCGTATTCATAGAATCATAGAACAGTTTGGGTTGGAAGGGACCTAAAAGATTATCTCATTCTACCTCCCTAACACAGGCAGGGACACCTTCCACTCTCCCAGGTTGCTCCAAGCCCCATCCAACCTGGCCTTGGACACTTCCAGGGATGGGGCAGCCACAGCTTCTCTGGGCAACCTGTGCCAGGGCCTGCCCACCCTCACAGGGAACAATTTCTTTTGTATATCTAATCTAAATTCCCCTCTCTCAGTTTGAACCCATTACTCCCTGTCCTGTCACTCCAGTTCCTGATGATCAGTCCCTCTCCAGCATTTTTGTAGGCCCTTCAGATGCTGGAAGGTGCTGTGAGGTCTCCACATAACTTTGCCTTCCTCCAGGCTGAACAGCCCCAACTCTCCCAGCCTGTCTCCTTAGGGCAGGTGCTCCAGTCCCCTGACCAACTTTGTGGCCTCCTCTGGACTTGCTCCAGCAGTCCCATTTTATGTTGGGAGCACCAGAGCACTCCTTCCAGCAGCTGAGGGTGGATCACCGGTGGCGAGCGGGGCGGGTGTCGGGGAGCGGAGCAATGCGGGTGCCACGGAGTTCATCCGAACCACCCAGCGAGATGGAAGCGACAAGCAGGGCTCCTCAGCCTAATGTGCTTATCAGTTAAGGGGATTTACTCGGAGTAGGTGGCGGTGGCAGAGCAGATAAGGGCCCTGGGAGCTCGGCAGACACTGCAGAGCCGTGGTGGCCCAGGAGCCGTGGGTATTACTGCACCAAAGAATGTTTATCTCAAGAGACTGTTTAGTTTATCTCAGATGCTCCACTTCTGGTCTCGCTTTCCTGAAAGACATCTTGTACTGATTTTCATTCATTTTCAGAAATTTAAATAATTCCTCAGGCTATGGAATTTATAGACTCAGTATCAATTGTAATCATGTGGAGGCTGATTTTCAAATTGCCTTTACTTTGTAATTCAAATTGTGTTGTATGGCAGACATTAATTATGTCAGCCAACATCTATTTACAAAAGGGGATTTAAAAACGGGCAGTTCTTATCAGCTAGTGACATTTGGCAGATGGATGGTTTCAGTAACAAAAAGAAGAGAATAGGGAGAAGGGGGGGGCTGTGCCCAACCTGTCAATGGCTGGAGTCTCTCATACCTTCCCTGGTGGAGCACTTGTCTGCCAGGAGGAGGGAGAGCGAAACAACAGCTTAATTGCATGCAAAATAAGCTTTGAGATCTTTGTGTCCCTTCTAG